GCTCAGCCGCTTTCAGAATAGTGCTATCTCCAGTGTGTTGGGGGGAACTAGGCTCAGTCTCTAGTTCTAGCTTCAGCTGAATTCCTTTGTCATACACTGAACAGTCTCCTGTTTCATTTGGCCAATCCTCTTGTCTCCAGACAGGTCATACTATGCATATCTTCAGTGTGGGGCTTCCTGTAACTTTTTGGTTAGGCAATTCTTAAATCTGGGCAGAGGGTCAGGGTTGTATCATAGATGTTATCTTAATACCTCATCCAACTCTCAAGCCTGCCATATCTAATGACTAAGGGCTTAGGATTTCAAAAGGTGTTCATGACCAGAATCTGGTGCCACCTTTCTTGCCCCATGCTAAGATTTTAGCTTTGACCAAAGGAAAACAACTCATATTATTTGTAGCATGTCAGTGTATTTTTCATCTCCTAAATTTTTTCAGTTGGATTAACAGGGCTGAGACAGCACAAAGAAGACCTGGCCTGGCGCCAGTTAAAGAGTAACGAAGGGTATCCAACTCTAAAACAATTGTGTAAAGGTTTGCCCATTCACTATGACATGGGTTCTGTGAGTTTAGGCCTTTTGATTGAAAGTAAGGAACTAACCTGGGCTGGCTTAGGAGGGGAAGAACAATTCTGGATGGATCTGGACCAGTTGCTACTACTAGGATGAATCTACTCCAGATCTTTTCTACCTGAGTTACTCAGATTCTCAAGAAAGTGTTTGAGACACCTCTTAGACAGAAACAGGCCTCATACCTTCCATGACAGTCTTACCAGCACTGGCCACAGTAAATAGAGATATCAAAGCCCAGACTGGAATCTTTTCACCTTTGAAAAAGACTGGAATACACCTGTTGCTCACTATGGAGTTTTGCAGTGAGGAGCAAATTTAGCCTTTCAGTGAATGAAATGGGCGATAGTTATACAGAGGCCCTGTCTCCTCAGCCATCGCTCAAAGCCTCATCAGCACAGAGGTTCTCGGCTGATTTCATATCCTTTTGCCTCCGGCATAACTTGACAATACAGATCAACAATTAACAACATATATCTTTGGTTATTATAGTTGCCTGGAATGGAATGAATGTTTTAGATTCTGAGAATGAGTTAAAAACCATCATCTAGAGAAGGCCAAAATCAAGGCCAGCCATTAGAGGCAAACTATCAGAAACCCTACCTAGGTAGTATCTCACTTGGAGTTGTATAGAACAACAGAATTCGAGGGCTTTGATGAAGTGACTGACTTGAAAAGAATCGAACAGGGATCTTTCCGCTTCTATAGGCTGGAGGACTTGCAGTCAGAAGCCAGGCTTGTATGGATAGCAGATTCTAATAATAACAGGTTTAAAGAGGTGACACACTGATTTGGAATGCCTTCTCATCTATGTTTACTTCTGACTAAACAGCCTCCCTCGTGCTTCCTTTCCAAGCAAAGGACCAGCTGTGTGTCACCTTTTTTTTTTTTCACTCTCTCTCTTAACCGCTGCTCCTGATTTTCTTTTTCATAACAACTGTGCTTTTCCTCCCCCGACTTGTGTTTTTCCTCTTGTAAATCATTTATCTTTACCTCACACGGCTCTTTTTCTCTTTCGTTTGCTGCTTATTCTGTAGCTTCTGATCCTTTTCCCAAAGCTCCCTTCCTTTTTCCTTCTCTGAGCCACCAGCATTACCCCAGCAGCACCAAGCTCCTTATTTCTTTGCTGCAAATACCCAGTGTGTTTGCTGACCTGTGTGCCAGAAGGAAAATCCCCAGGCCGCCTCCGTGCCAATGCGGTGAAAATCTGCAGCTGCCATTGCTCAACAAGGTCCTCGTGGCCCATCAATCAACAGATAGGATCTCTTGCAGTGAACATTGGCATGTGTATGTTTATATGACTATGAGAGACATGATAGTGTTGGCTGCATTGGGGAAGAGCTTGGATCTTTCCTGATAAGTCAGAGGATTTCTGACAAGTCAGAAAATTCTGCCTAAATCTTTTGGGATTGTTATTATTGTTACTCTTATAGTGGATGAGATCCTAAGAATTTGTATAAGAAAAATGAGTGACATTGAAGAGAGAAACAGACACAGGGGTCCAATAGATAATGAAGCACAGAATACCCTGCTGGCACGTTGCTGATAGCAGACTCAAGATGCACAGTGTAGATGCAGTGATAGGGCAGAACGCAGCAGCAGCAGCAGCAGCAGCAGCAGCAGCAGCAGCAGCAGCAGCAGCAGCAAAGAAAGATCTGGAAATAAAACCCAAGTGATTCATTAGTTTGAATGAAAGAAAGAAGCTAGTCTAGATAACGTGACTGGTCAAGAACATGGAGGCAGAGATGCAAAGAATGAAGGCGAACACTTCAGAAAGCTGAGAGCTCCCCTGCATCAGTGCAGTGTTACAAGTGAAAGAGCAAAAACGGGGAAACACACTTATCCTACTCAGAAACTCTGTCAGCAGCACTTTAGGGATCTAAAAGTTAAATGATACCAGAGCAGTGTCTTTAAAAAACAAAACAGAAAAACAGAAATCCAGGCCCCCAATAAAACAATGGGGAAAGTCTGAATAGTTGTAGCAGGGAACATCAGAAAATGATACAAATCTTCAACTGGAAAAGTGATTTTAAGTTGCGTCTGCAGTGAAACAGCGGCCCGCTCCGCCACCCCCAACAAAAAAAAAAAAGGGAAGAAAAGCGAGATGGTGCTGTTTCCTGAGTTTGGAAACCAAGCTGGCCTGACAGAAGAGCAGCCCCCTGCCCGAACTGTTTGCCAAGCACTGTGCTGGGGGGCTTTGAGTATACTTCTAATTTCAGCCTCGCTATTAAAAAACGAAGCCAAGGGCTGAGAATGCTGTCCACTGGGAGGAAAAAGCAGAGGGGGTTTTCTGAGCCAGTTCCAAAATCATAAGACTCAGGGGGAATTACTTTGATTTTGTCAAGTCAGAGTGAACAGCCAAAGGCAGCAGACATAGGATATTGTCAGAGGTAAATCACCCAGCTAGGTCTGTTCTGTCTTATTGCAGGGTCAGAGGAGCATAGCAAGCCGGCCAAATGTTTTCAACCATGGAAATCCCCTAACTTTCCAACTGCTACAGTCCCACAGCTCCGAGGCTTTACTCACAGGGTGGCTCTGTTCCAGCTTTCAAATCTCTCCAAGTTGATTAATCATTTTCTTGTTCTGACTCATTCATGCTTCTAGAAAAAGAGCTAAAGGTACTAGATGGGCTGGGTGGATCAAGGAGGTCAGATAAATTGGCTTGCTGTTAGTCTAGAGAAAAACTGAGGTCAAAGCCTTTTAAGCATACTGTCCTCAAATGCTATGTATGATCTGGGGTGAAAGGCCATTGGCTTGTTTTATGTGGTTAAAGCATGAAACGTTAGGAAACTTGGGTTGTGAGGATTCATTTCTTAATGTTGGCATAAGCTATTGTAGGCTAGTAACTTAGACATCAGGGTTCCATTATCACAGCTCCCCTCTGTATCTATGCAGAGAGACTGTGGATCCATGTTTAACCCTCTAATACATATGCAGTGTTTATTATCTATCAGGCATCGTGATCTGTTTTGCCAGCAGACAGGTTTACAGCACTCAATGGTCAATTTTGATCGTCTTAGCCAAGGTCATACATAAAAATTATAGTATTTGGTCTGGCTAATATTCCTTACCATGAAGTTTCTATTTTAAAAATAACTTCTTTTAGTTTATGATTACATTGAGTCATTCTGGAAAGTCTGCTTCGTTGCTTTTGTAACATATTAATCTCTGGACTCATTCACTGGATTCCCGGACATTTATTGAGCACCTGAGCTTACTAGTCATCAGAAACAGAACTGTAAATGCTAAGATACCACCTCAAGCCTGAGGTCATAGAGGTGAGTGAGCAAAACACACGGAGAAACACAGAACACGAAGCAAAGGAGGGAACATTTGAATTGGGAACTCAAGAATCAATGGACATTTTTAGAGTGGTATGGTTGGAAGGAAGATCATCATCATTATAGGGAACAGTAGTATGTTTAATTTTTTTTTAAAAAGATGTTTTTGTAGAGTCGTGGTGGGGAGCCTGAGTGGGTTAAACTGAAGTGAGATTGTTGTGTTGGGCCTTGTGTAGAACACTGTGAATTCTAGAAGGGCTTGTGGGAGTTTTAAAGAAAGAGAGCTACTTCATTTGATTATGTTTCAGGAAGAGAATTGTGAAGATAGTGTGGAGTGAGGCTAGAGGGTGACAGAGGGGCCAAGTGGGAATCTTCTGTGTGTCCTGTGAGCGGTGGCAGCAGGAGGGAGGAGAATAGGATCTGGGGCTCATGTGGGAAGGAAGGTGGGGAGAGAGCAGTAGGGAATGGAGAACAGAAGACGATGTTTGGGTCACTCCTTGGGAAAGGACTTGGGTGCCCAGGCGGAGCTCGATGCCTTCAACAAGAAATCCTGAAGGAAGCAGCGAGAGGGAGTGTTGAGATCATTTTGTAACATGTTACGTTTAAATGATGGCACAGATTCAAGACATCGAGTTCCCCTTGATAACCATTATATGATCAAGAGAGTAAAATACCTCAAACCTGAAGCCAGGACAGCTTTTGATCAGTCAAGCAGAGAATAAGGCCACCAAGGATAGCAGAGCATAGTTTGTTAAGGGGTCTTCATGATGTGGGAGAATCCTGGGAAGTGCAAATGGGGACACTTTATACCTTACATCTGTTGCTCGCTTCGCTTCCTCTCCTTTCCCTACACGTGACTAATGAACTTTTAAAGAGGTTTAAAGGTCTGTGAAGGGCTAGGGGCATGCTGACCCCTTCTAGACTGTTGTCTTTAAGTCTGCTTTCGGGAACAGTTGGGGAGCCGTTCTCTCAAGCATGTAAACACATGCTTCCCCATTGATCTGCACTCCCGGCTGCAGACATTTGTACCCCTTAACTAATTGCAGCAATCTGTTCCACGCAGCTCCGAGAAAGCACACAAATTGATTCCCCAGCAGTGTCCATACCCAAGGACACCTGTATGACCCTCCATCAAATCAGCTGCCCCCTCACCTCGTGTTCACCTGCTATTTCGATTACGGGCGCCGTAATAGATCAGCCTCGAAAGTCCCTGTCCTGGGAAATTTCTTCAGGAGAGAATTATTGGAAGTAATATTTTGGCCGCAGAGCCAACTTGTGGATTTAAATATCTTCCAGCCGGCAGAACACCTGGATTTTAAGTGTCTAGTCCCTTCTGACTCTGAAGAATGAGCTGTACCTTAAATTGAAGCTCATAAGCACATTGAGAAACCGTGAGTCTGCTTCCTCCTGCTGTTTGCTGAAGCAATGAAAAGTAAATGAATTCAGAAGGCCCCGAGCCAGCGGGAAGCATCATAAGTTGGGGCCTTACAGGGATATGTATGCTGTGGTTTTAGTGCTGTGAGCACCAGATGGCTCCTTCCTCGAGTCGATGGAATACTTGCCTTCTGAGATAAAGATCGGCCTCTTATATTTCATGCTGACCCTGGTTTCTGGTACCTTCCATCTAAGAGCTTGATGATGAATATCTGTTAGCTGGTTAGAATCTCTAAGTTGCGGGGGTTGCCTTACAAGGGCTTTTGAACTTCTTGAATTCAAGCAGTCTACTTTATAGCTGCCTAGGGGAGATGCATGAGGGATTGAGGCTCACCTGCCGGCAGCCATGAGGTCCAGTGGCCTACATATACATTTTACTTGTATTTATCGATATTTCTTCTTTTTAAAAAAGATGAATTCAGCATCAGCCTTTAAATATTAAGAAATTTCATGTTAAATGGCTTCATTTCAAGACTGTAAGGTCTGACAACTTTGTATCTCATTCTTGCAGGGTAACAGCTCGTAGACCTGAATAGTCACTGTCTCCTTTGGGATGAGCTTGACACTCACAATTTGCCAAAGCCCCTGTCGCTCACTCCCTGTCTTTCTTACATTTAGCCTATCCCGCTCACATGATGTTATATGCCTTGTGGAATGTTAGAGTATTTTTAACCCCCAAGAAACCTTCATTCCATTAGCAGTGACTTCATCCCCTCTCTCCATGCCATCCTCCAGCTTCAAACTTCCAATCTAGTGCCTCTAGTAATTTGAATTTTTTCTTTCTACTTCTAGCTATTAAAAAGTATTGCTATTGTGAGCACCAGTATGCAGGTTTTTGCACGAATACCTATTTTCAGTCTCTTGGGAATATAGCGGGGGTTGGAGTTATTGGATCTTATGTTAACTCTGTATTTTGACATGTTGAACAATTTGCCAAATGTTTTTCAAAGTGACCACACAATTTCACATCCACACCAGCATATAAGAGGGTGCCAGTTCCTCCACATCCTTCTCAACAACTCGTATTGTTAACTTCATAGCAGGTCTAGTTCCTATTGTTAAGTGATATTTCACTGTAGGTTCAATCAAAGCATTTCTCTTTTTTATCTTTTTACACAGAACAGAATTTCTTAAGTGTCAGGTGGAAATGTTACTAACAGATTGTGGTGATGGTTGTTCATCCGTGGGACTCTCGGCCTGATCTCAAGCCTTTACGCTAGATAACACAAGGCCACGTGATATAATATGTCCTAGGCTGTAGCCTGTGGAGCATCTGCAGTGAATTCCATCAGCTTGATGGATGCTTGTTAAAAATTCATATTCCTGGTCATGCAAGGGCTCAGACTGTCCGGGGGCGGAATGTGATCTGTAAGAAGTTACACAGCTAACATATATGCAACATATGTGAGCCCAAGTAATATGACTAACATACCCTCATCATAAGCCTAAGAACTTCCATCTTTATATTTACATGTTGAATTACACCAAAATGGCTAAAATTTCTTAGTTAAAAACAAAGTCTTTTGTACATAAAGTGTATCTAAGAGAACGGGGTGGGGCCCACAGGAGTGGGGCATGACAAAACCTTTAAAATGGACATACTGCTTTAGCCGTCCTTTCTCAGCTGACCGGTTTCTGCATAAGTGGTGTGGGAGAATTGGACATGATGGTGCCGATGGTTCTTTTCAGCTGTAATTAACTTGTCTCATTTGTAACCACTCTTGGAAGACACTGCTTCTGGGGAGCTTTGTCCCTTCAACAACAAAACAATAAGCATTTACTAAGCAGTCATGACAAGCAAAGCCTCATGCTGACGGGTCCGGCCATGTGGATGACTAAGCTGCATCCCTGACCTTGTGGAATCCAGTCTTCATATAACATACAGCTCTCATCTGGAGGAAATGCCTGTAACCTCTCTGTCACTTCCCTTGGGAACACCTGGCAGGTGTGAACTCTTTCTATGACTTGTCCCATCCAGTCTCCTCTTCCTTGATCTGGGATTTTCTTTCCCAGGATGCCACAGACAACAGCAAGGCCACTTGGTGATGCTGAGTCTGTAAAGTTGCTCTCCTGTACCTGGAAGACCACCATCCTGGCCACATCCAAAAATGCATCAGGAAGCAGAAAGACTTTTTTTCCTAAGTAAGATGTTGGTGTTTTCCAGTAGTCCTGTCTGTCCTTGTCAGCAAATGTTGTTTTTAGGGCCCCCTTATTATCTCGGGGCTCCCATCTTACGATGATCAAGGAGAACCTGGGTCTTCAGTTTTCTTCATCAGAGAACAAACCTCAGTGTGTACATTTAGGACCACAGCGCGAGGCTGTTGCATCTGCAGTAAGTCGGTGACTTAGAATTCACTTTTCACCCCAGGATCTGGAAATCTTTAATAGCTTAAATTCCACATCTGACCTCTGAGGAAGGCTGACAGTGAACAAGAACTTCTGCTCATTGTCTCTTCAGTAAGTAGGAAGGTAGCATTCATGCACAGCCTGAGCCTTTTCTCCTTAGGCCAATGTGAGTCAAAGCCCCTGTATGTGACCACAGTATTGCAGCACACATATAATTAATGCCTCCTACTTGCCTATCATGTCATTATGAGTGCCTCGCTCATCAGCTGCTGGGAGGTGAAGTGACAATAAAGGACGATTATTTCCCCAACTCAAGAAGGACAGACCAAAGTGTCCACTAACACAGGACCTTGTTCTTTTGGGTGAGTTACCAGTCCAAGATAAAGTTGGGTTAGGTTTGTAGGTCCTTTGATGGAGTGCTTGCCAAGTATGTGGGAAGCCCCAGGTTCGATCCCAGCACTGCATAAACCGAGTGAGGTAGTTCATGTCTGTGCTCTCAGCACTCAGGAAGGACACAGAGGATCAGAAGTTCAAAGTCATCCTTTGATACATAATAAGTTCAAGGCCAGCCTGGGCTACATGAGACTAACTATCTTCTCAGAAAAGCAGGCTCTCTTGTCGCCCATCTCAACTAACAAGTAATTTTAGACTCAAAAGCTTTAGCCCATGGATCTTCGCCTCAGTGGCTTTCCTTCTTAAGAATTAGAGGGTTGTTTGATTTTTTTTCCCCCCCAGGTTAAACTGTCAGAAAAAGAAAAGCCATTCTATCCTTTGTTTGGGTGTATTGGGAAGAAGCCAAGAAGGGGATGAAAAGGAACCAGTCCTTGTTTGCTCTCAGGCATTGTGCATTAGATTGAATTAAGAGGAAACTACGTCACACGGATGCATCTTCAGGGAGGCCTGGGGAAGCTTGCTTGTTCCATCAGCGTGACCTCAGCCCGTGCTGTCTAACACAGCTAGCTGCCAAGGCCTGGCCGGAGACTCTTTCTGCCTTTCCTTTTCAGTGTTGTCCTGGAACCTCGAGAAATCCAAAACGTACGTGTTCTTCCCACTCGGAAGCTGCTGCCCAGCCTGTTTCTCCTCTTTCCCTCTGGTTTTTCTCTCTTTGCTGTGAGAAAAAAAAAATGCATGATCTGTTCATAGTGTCAGTTGTGGCATCATGGTAAGATGTTTGGTTTTAGGCGGGCAAAGTGGCACACGCCTGTAATCCCAGCACTCGGGAAGGCAGAGTCAGGCAGATCTCTGTGAGTTTGAGGCCAGCCTTATCTACAAAGTGAGTCCAGGACAGCCAAGGCTACACAGAGAAACCTTGTCTCAAAAAAAAAAAAAAAAAAAAAAAAAAGTTTAGTTTTATCCTTTTGGTTCAATCTAATGAATGCAGACACTATTTATAATTAAATTCTTTGAGTTCTCAGATTTTATTTTATTTTTAAAGTATTTATTTATGTATTTGTGCCTGATGTGTGTATAAAGGTCACTGGATAACTTTGTGAAGTAAAGTCTTTCCCTTTGTTTTTATCTGTGTTATGGTGATCAAACTTGGGTTTCCAGGCTTACACAGCAAGTGCCTTTACTGCCTGAGCCATCCTACTTGCCCTCAGCTTTTTACTGTTTTTTTTTTTTAATATATACATTTGTGTGTATACATTTGTGTGTATACATGTGTGATGATCAGAGGACAATTTGTAGGTGCCAGTTCTCTCTTTTTACCTGGGTTGAACTCAGATCTTCAGGTGGAAAGCAGCTTTACTCCCTGAGCCATCTCACTGGCTTGGTTTTATTTTTAATGTGGAGTTTCTGCCTCAGTTCCCCTACCCCTATAATAGGCAGGCCAGCCAGTATATTTTTCCACTTCCATTCCCAAAACCATCACATGCCTTCTGTTCAATCTTCCCTCTCCTCATACGCTCATACCCTACCCTGTCTTTGGGGAGTAATGTAACTTTGGGCACACACTGCCTTGGTTTCCCCATCTGAGGGCACTTGTGGCTTGTTATGAGGTTTAATGTTGGGCAGTATCCTCCCTGTCTCAAGTTCCCCCTGCATGGGTCCACCAGAACACAGCTGTCAGTTCAGCCTGTCTCCTCATCATCCCTGCAGCTTCTCTGGTTTCCACCATGTGTGCCTTGGCATCTGAGGCCCTTCCAGGCAAGTCCACACTGCTCCTTCTAGACCTGTCTCTCACCATTTCCCAATATCATCCCCTGTCCTCCAGCCAGCCCAGACTAGCCAACATTCCTACCGAGGCATTTATGCTCTTCTCTTGGCTCAGACACTCCTACTTCCACACAGTTACCTCTCTTCTTTGCTTACCAAAATCCCAGCACCCATGGTGCCCACCTTAGCCATCCTAACCAAGAACCCCTTGGGTGTGATTAGTCACCCATAAATACCTAGATAGTCCGTATTGGGATGCTATTTGTCATAGACTGCCTGGCAAGAGAGGATGTTCGTACACTTTGTTTCCCTTCTAGGTTGTAAACCTCTTGAAGGCAGGAAGTCCACTTTCTCTTATATGTGTGCTCAATAAATAGTTTTGAAGAGATGAAAGAAGCATCTTTGCTTCCTTGGTTTGAGTCCAACAGCTTCCTCTAAGGTCCAAACCTAGGAAGGCCAATGCAATCATCAGGATTTAGCACTACATCCGCTTCCCCAACCTGTTTACTCTTTCACTTTCTCTCTTGGCGATGGGGATCTCACTGCCTTGCCCTAGCTGGTCTCACACTCCCGGATTTAACCCTCTTGCCTTAACTTCCTGGTACGGTGTTATAGATGCCAATCCACCTAGGTATATCAACACACAGTTGTGAATACGTGCTAGGAGTTAGAGACTGTGGTAATTGCTGGGGTTAAAAATAATTATGGTCCAATTTAATGATTCCTAGGTGCTAAGCACCATGCTTAGTAAGTATTTTTCGTATCGTCATGTGTAATTCTCATGGCAAACATGTGAGGTTATTATTTTATCATCAAGGCATTATCATGTAAGCTGTAGGTCAAAGAAGTTAGTAAGTTGCTTAAAGCCACCCGAATAGACAATAAAAGAACCTCTTAGTTATAGGATATGATCTATCCTTAAAGGGCCTGACTTTGGACAAGTTGGCCTTCCTAGCTAAGGTTAACTTTGATGCTAACTGCTGCTCATACCTGACAGAAACTCCTTTCCCATAGGGTTCTGGCCTTGCATTTTGAAAGTGTTCTATATTTTCAGACAGGCTCTCACTATAGAGCATTTGCTGGATTGGAACTTACTCTATAGCCCTGGTTAGCTTCAAACAGACAGTCCTCCTGCCTCCACCTCTCAGGAGCATTACCATGCCTATAGGATGGATTCTTCATAGTTACTAACAATCTTAAAGCTAGGACTATTTATGCCAAATGTTTGAAGGCAAATCAGTACTGATTGCCTTTTAGTCAAAGACTCAGTGCTTTGAGTCACAGGATAATGACGTTTCTTTCTTTTTGATGTAGCCCATTTTCTTGGTATTATAAATTTTAATACGCTTATTTTTGGTATGATAAGCTTTTGTTTAAAAAAAAAATGCCCAGAGTGTCCATGCCTGTTTTCTGCCTAGAGTTGTGTCTTCAAGGTGATAAACATTTTTAGCTTTTGAAAGTTCTGAGAAACTAGTTTCTCTTTTCTATTTCTTTCCATAAAGCATTGTCCATACTTTTTCCCAAAATAAGTTTCCTTGTTTAGGCAGACTTTTCTGCGTAAACTGCCTCTTTGCATTGTTTGTTTTGTTTTCTACATTTATCTTTTTCCTTAGGTCATCTAGCTTGTAAAACCCACAGCCCGACATTACTGTTAAATTGTCATGGCTTAGTGTCACTTTGTATTTTGTGGAGTCTAAAGCTCACTGATTTTTTTTGATCTGGCCGTTTTCTTCCTGGGGGAGTTGAGTTTCCCTTTGTTCACTTATTTATAGCTTTGCTGTGGGTATGGTTCGGAGCCTGGGTTTTTATTGCTTCAATTGCTCTATGGTAATTGACACACTATACACAGTCCAGGTTCCTGTTCCCTTTACATGTGGACACACACTATTCCATGACTCAGACAGACTATAATGAATTGCCGTTATCCTGGGGTATCTGAAATTCTGGGTCACTGCCTTGGTCTGTTCTGCCTAAACGCAGAGGCAACCACAATGACTATTGTAAACAGGCAGTGTTTTATTTCTGCTGGCATTTCATCACCATGGGTGCCTCTCAATCTAATTATATGTTGATTTGTAATCAACAGAAGCTTCCTCTCATTTGATTTCATGCTGACTCTATATCCCACAGGTCCCTACACACACACACACACACACCATTTGGAAACCTCCAGGGTTATTGTCTCAAGTTCAGTTTCATTAAACAGGTCTCCTTTCATGATGGCCCTGCTTTTTATCTATTACTTTTCCGTTCACTTACCCTGTCAACCTAGAGGTATCTGTTGTCTGTTTAAAAACAAACAACTAAAGCGCGGTGTTGTGTTGGTGGGCTCCATGTGTCCATCTGAAGTATTAGGGAAAGCATGGTCATCACCATGGGTTAGTCTGATGGCCCACATCTCTCTGCTCTACAGTAAGATATCTGATCCTAGGAAACAAAGAATGGCCTCAGCCAGAATCCTCACTGAAGTCTGATTTGGATACAATGAGAATTCATCAAATATGTAGAAACTGTATTTCCTAGGGAATCTAGGCTTTTTTCCTGTATTTGGGAGTGGTGAAGAATACGCCCAAGAACTTGGAACAGATACAGAATTGTCAGACAAACAGAAGATCTGTAGGGCAAGACTTCCTTTCTCCCTGCTGAGCTTTTTCTTGCATTATCTCTGAGAAGATGAAGCGAATATGCAAACAGACGCTGCCTCAGGATTGTCTTTTAGTGATAGGCTGCTGCGTTCAGTGATTTCTCCAGCCCGTTGTGTCTGCCGGACAGTTGGAAGCTTTTGGAAGCCGTTGTATTGTTAGAGAATAATTAGGGTGAATGAAGCAGGGGCTAGGGGTTAACAACAATTCTTTGTTGTAAGCAATTGGTAGTCTTGGCATCAATATTAGTAACAAGGCCAATCTACTGGAAGGATTCTAAACAAAAGATGGAAAGGTTGCGGTTGGTTTGTCTAATCCATCCAGTAAACCCACCCATGCGTGGCCATTGTACCCTGTGAGGTCTCTGGAAATGCCTTTGGTCACACTGCATTCCAAGCCACTGGGCGGTGATCGCTGCACAGTCTCATACACGGCTTTCCTAGAATGCTTCCCATATGGGACGGGGAGGCACAGGTGTTGCCTTGGCAATTAATCAGCATACTTCACAAAGAAAGTAATCTCCGAACACTGGGGTAGATGGACGGGAATCTTACAAAAGGCTTATCATCTTTTCCGTGGCTGGAGGAGTTAGAATATGGTCCCTTCTACCCACTCCAGGCCAGTTGCGCCCAGTCTCCAATCCATCATCTAGTCCATTGAACTAAGGTAGCTGTAAACTTAGTACATCAAGGACAGTCATTCTTGGAGTGAGGGCTGTAGCTTAGGGATGGAGCAGTTGCTCTGCATGTGTTTCGTCCACAGTACTGAACACGGAACAAAACAAGACAGATAGTAGTTCTTAGCACGGAATGTCTGCTTTTCCTCACCCACGCAGAACCTGGAGCTGATGGCAAATGCTGAGCCCGGCCAACCTGCAGCTCTGGCTGATCAGATTCTTAATCCATACACAGCAAAAGTGCCTTGCATGGAGGCCATGGAGTCCTGCATGGAGCCTGTCAATCCTATTTCTAACAAGTGCGTGGTATTTATGTATCCTATTCCCAAATCAGCTTTCTACCGAAGGTCCCCAAGTACAGAGGTTCAAATTGTGCAACGATGCTTACACAAACCCTGCTTTCGGTTGTTATTGTAAAGGACAGAGTTTCTAAGGAGTGCAGAAGCAGCGGTAGAGACATCTCCAAGAACACTTACAATCTACAATACCTATCCCTAGAAGGCTAACTCCTGCCTCAAGTATTGAAAAGGGTTCTAATCTCAGTCTGACTTGGGCCAAGGACAAGTGTTCAAGACCAATATTGAACTCTGAGGCCAAGGTGATTTTCACCTACATACTGTTCCCAGAACATTCCTGACTGTCCTGTCTGCGTGAAGAGCGCTGGGTGTCTGGGATGGGGGAGGGGCCGTGTGAGAAGGGAAGCAGACTGGACAGCAGTGTGCTTATTTTCAGTTTCTCAGCTGCTCTGGAAAACAGCCAAAATGAATGAGATACAACAAGCCTTCAGAGTGATTGCAAGCCACAGAGAGGCAAGGCCCCTCATCTGAAAGAGCTCTGTGGGGTTTAAAGTTTCATGCATATTTGGTCTGGGGCAAAGATAAACCCCTGAACCTTCTCCAGGAAAATGTTTGCTCCCAGGAGCACCCTATGGGCCCTGCCTCCCTGAACAGATTATATTTTTTGAGGCAGATAAAACAACGTGGCACCTCATTTGGCTAGTGGTGAAAGAGTGATACAAACCTTGATGAGACCTATCTTCACGGCCTCTCGCAGACTGTTGGAAAGACTGGAGGAAACTCTGTTTGTCATAGAGGGCAGACAGCCTGGCAGAGGAAGGAAAGCAAAGGGTTAAATTCTCTGGGACCAGTGTGCTTGTACACAACATGACACCCAGGGAAACCAGGCAAAGCTAAACAGTGTTTTATAAGCCGAAACCCTGGCATCCTCCCAAAGGATGGAAAAGCTGGACATTCAAGATGGGTCACCCTCCACGCAGAAAGAGCTCAACCTGAGGCGGCTTTGAGTTCTAACAAAGTCCATGGCTGGGCTTTTTTTTTTTTTTTTTTTTTTTTTTTTTTTTTTTAGGTGTGACTGCTGTCCTGGCCTGGCAGTCATGTCCCAGGCTTGACCACTCTCCCGATGTAACTTTGGTCTGTAGCTCACGTCAGCAGGCTTCTTTGATCGTCTTCCCAAGTAGTGGAGATATTTGCAGAGAGAGATGAAATCTGGATAAATAAACTTCTTTTCTTGACATTGTTAAAAAGCATTAATAAAAAGATCAGAGGGTATTTTCAGAGCGAAGTGGAGATAAAGGCACCCACTGCCGGCGTGGAAGGCTAAATGGGTAGCTTGGTGAGCAGTTTCTGGCTGCAGCCACGTGTGAGCAGCTCTGAGACAGTCTGATATGGGTACTAACACGTACATACTACAGTAGCTGCCTCTTTCTTCCTAAGGCTGTTTTTTCTATCACACAGCTTTTAGAGTTTTCCTGAAGAATTACATTTATGCCTGGTTTGTGCCGAGCTTAAGTTTTCAAAGAAATTCCAGTGGACTACGCTGGACTGTTTCTTGGAAGGGGAAGAGTGGTTAGCAAAAGCAGTCCGTCTTTTTATCTCTGAACTGGCAGGAGGTGGCTGTTCCGTGCGCGTCTGCCTTTCCTGTGCATTTGCAACTGCAGCTAAGGGCAGCGAAATGGCTTTTCCTGAAATTACACGGAAAGTCCAGAAACAACAAGGAAAAGCCCTGTTGCCCTGTGCCTGCTTTGTCAGCACAGTGTGAGCTGTGTCCATAAGAAAGGAGTTAGCCTAGATTCCTGTTGCTTTAAGAAATTTTGTGGGCCAGGCAATGGTGGTGCACACCTTTAATCCCAGCACTAGAAAGACAGAGGCAGACTGGATCTCTATGAGTTCTAGGCCAATCTGGTTGCAAGTGAGTTCTAGGACAGCCAGGGTTGCACAGAGAAACCCTGTCTCGGGAACAAACAAACAACAAAACACACACACACACACACACACACACACAAAACAACAACAAAACCCATGAATATACAAGACACAGAAACAGCATCCCAAGGTGGGCTTAGCGTCCTCGGTGAAGCATGATTTTAAGGAGACATATTTGAAACACTTACTTTTAAACTACAGTGATAATTCTGGCACACAGAATTTTTGCACATAGCGCCCCCTCATACATTTCCAACTTCCACAGGCAGTTTTGGAGAAGTAGGAGACAGATGCATCTGAGTACAGCTGACCTCCAGAAAGCAGAAGTGAAGCTGGAAGCTGTGTGTGACCTAACCACACTGCTAGGATGCTGCTGGATGGGGCTCACACCCAGGCTGGCATTCCCATCGCCCCATGAGGCGTTAGTTGCTAAAACGATGTTCTTAAAGAGCAGTTCC